CAACACACACACACACACATATACAAATATTATAAAAATGCTAATACACATACATCCCAACAACATGTAAACATCTATAAACTTGTAATTATTATATTTATAACAGAAAGCATCATTAGAATGGTGCGCACTTAACTTTCATTATCTTTTAATAACTCATCCGTTCGTTCATCCATCCATCCATTCATCTATTCATTCATCTATTTATTTATCCATCCATCCATCCATTCATCCATCCATCCATCCATTCATCTATTCATTTATCTATTTAATTATCCATCTATCTATCCATCCGCCCACCCATCAATCCATGAAATTGATTGAAAACAATTTATAACAATTTTGAAATGTTAAAGGATAGAATGAAACTGAAATGGACCAACAGGATAAGTTGAGAAAATGAGATAAAGAGAAAGAGAGAGAGAGAGAGAAAGAGAGAGAGAGAGAGAGAAAGAGAGAGAGAAAGATGTCATTGTGCCATTTTTGCTGCATAATGCATGTTACTAGTAACTCTACCTTAAGCTACTAACTCTACTCAAGTTACTCTACTCTAAGTCTAAACTTTAAGAGATGTTAGTCTAAACCATTAAACTTAATTAAATTATTCCTCACTCCGTAAGAAAGGAGGAAACCTATTACCATATCACAGTTTATAAATAAATCATGTGAACAATCTGAAAAATAACATTAATAATAACACAGAAAATGGCAATAATAATAAAAACTACAATATTATATTGGTCATAAGTTATTAACAAGAAAAATAACAATAATAATAATCTATAATTTTGATAATGATGTTTAATATTTAAAGCAGGTGATCATGTGAAATGAAGTGAATGTGGCGTCCCCATGCAATTATGAACAACAATTATAAGCGAAAATTAAATATTATATATATATATATTTATTTTTATTTATTTATTTAAAAATATATTTATAATTATACATATAATTTTGATAAAAATACCAAAAATTTCGAGTTTTACCAAATATTAAGCTACCGTATCATATATATATATATATATATACATATATATATATATGTATATATATATATATGTATATATATATATATATACATATATATACTATATACTATATATATATATATATATATATGCTATTTCGTCAATAAGCAACACTTGTATATTAATAGATGAATTGAAAGTTATTAGTATTAACGTAAAATTCACGTGCACACGCACGCACACACGCACGCACACGCACACACACACACTTACATTCATATACATATAAGTTTGTGAGAAAGCAAGCAATAAAAATGTATAAAACTTTAATTATTATCATAGTTGATATAATTGTATACATTTTGTATAAACATTCCTGGCAGAAGCATCTTCATCATATTAATCTTACATTAACAACAATAATATTAATGATAAGAACAAAAGTAATAACGAATGAAGCTTACATCACATTAAAATTACTGTTACCAAGACAAAGACATCAACACAAACCAACAACAACAACAACAATAACAACAACAACAACAATAATATTAACAAGAGCCACAACAACAACAACAGCAACTTCTATCACATGTAGAGTACTATGGAGTAATTAATAAATTTGGAAACATCAGTTGCCACAGTCACAACTTAACAAAGAATCACCACTACTACAGTCTCTACAACAAGAAGAAAACAATCAATCAATCAGAACAACAACAGCCATTCAACATACATAAACAAACAACAACAACAACAACAAAAAACAGATACAACAAACAAAATAACCGACAAACTAACAACAAAACAACAAACATACAAAGAGGCTAATAACATACAAAACAAAACGTACATATCAAACAAACAAAACACAAAACAACCAACGACCAAAAAACACGAGCATACAAACAAACAAACAAAAATTATACAAAGTAAAGGAAAACAAACAACACCATACTACTTATCCCTCTTGGAATAGCAACAAACCTGGAATATAAACAGTCGGAACCTGAATAAGATGTAGAGAAATAAATGCAACAGAGGCAGTAAGGCACAAGCTAAAAACAAACAAGTCAAAAAAGCTCTCAGAGGGTAAGCCCAATCGACGACCCCGCGATAAATAACATTATTTGGGGGGTCCAAAGACCAATAAATGTACGAAAATACGCTATACATTCCACCTAAAATCATTGGATATATAACGTGCTGCAGTCGAACTGGAATGGCATTTATAGACACCTCCATCAAGATGATTATGGAATTCATTAGGTGCATGTGGAAGTCCCCGATTGGGATGTAGTTGATCTTCTTCAGTGGGTACAGGGCTTTGAAATAGACGATGGTGACCAGTAAGGCGGTTGGGGCTGCCAGCGCAAACAAAAACCAATTCAATTTCACTAATTTAGGAACCTGGTTCGACCAAACTTGGGAACTACTCTTCTCTTTTAATTTAATGATGACCTCCATATTCGTCTCGACTTTCTTGGCGACCTTCAGATGATGTCGCAGGACTGTGACAAACGAGCATAAACAATGTAGCATTAAGATGAAGTAGGCCCAATTCGTCAGGAAGACTCCCCACGGCCTTACGGGGAGCATCGGGTCGGGAAAACCCGCCACACTTTGCACGAATCCATAAAATGTGTAGACGCTCAGAGCACATCTGTAAATTAGGAAGATCGTTGAGTGGATAGGCCACTGTTGAATGGTAGATTGTATAATGTCATTAAAATTATTGCTAAAATTATGAAAATTTGTGAATTTATTATGAATGATTAGTCATTATATTTTAATAATAAACAAATTATTTTTTATTGGTTTATTATTGAATATTTAAAAAAATAATTTATTTAATAACAGCAAATCTATCACTACTTCGAGACATAATGAGACACAATTTTACTCACCAAGCCAAATAAAATTGCTAATATAAATATATTATTGAATAATAAAAATATAAATTGAATTTATTTATTTATATAAACTTATGATTTATAATAAAAAAATAACTCAAATTAATAATAAAATAAAATATGAACCTGAGAAAAATAAAATAATTCAGATGGGACATGGGAAAACTTCCAGTTATAAGATGTGAATTCATTCTTTAGGGTCAGTGTCTTTAGGTACTGAATTGGTGATAAAATTTATTTTATTTTATTAACCATAGTTTAATATATTATAAAATATAAATAAATAATGAAATTTATTTAAATTAAATATGACAGTATTTATATAGTTACTGTCATATTTAATTTAAATAAATTTCATTATATATATATATATATAACTAAAAAATTAACAAATAAATAAATACTACATAAATTCTTACAGATTTTAGTTTAAACTAGTAAGTGAAAAAATTTATTTAAAAATATCAGTGGCACACCCAATTCAGAGATTTTTCAGGCATTTTTGTTGAATGATGATCTTCTTCGGGCATTAAAATATACAAATAATCAATGGAATAGATATTCATTTCTTAATTTAAAACTTTTTAAATGAAAAGGCAACATTTGGAAAGTCAAAAACTGGAAAAATAATTTTTTAAAAATAAAAATTAAACGAAAGAGATAGCTTTTTAGTTATGTCGCTTGTCAATCGGTGTACTTTCGAATTTAAAGGGACTATTTAAATGGCCAGGGATGGACAAATAATTCATAATCTCGTTTACCTTTTCATTTTCATACAAATATTACTATTATTTATAAATTATTTGTTAAATATGATTAATTTTATATATATTCATACTGCCATATATAGAATACACTTTCTTTGTATATATTATGTATATTAAATAGGAATAAACACTTAAACACACAAACGTACGCATAGAAACACACACACAGTCATGCACAAACACGCTATGTAGTATTGTTTTGGGCTATGGATAATGTCTTCTTCTTTCTCGTGCCTTATCCTTTCAGGACATTGGCGACCATCGACCTCCATAAAATCCGATCTTTAACACTTTGTAAGAGTTGAAATGGGGTGATACTCAACAAGTGACACAAGGGCTTCACGAATGTTGTTCGACGTTGACTGCGATCTCTTTTCTCTACAATCTTTTCAGTAGTTGTTAGGTTGTTTCTTATATTTCCATAAACTCCACGTGTTTCACGCTATCAAAAGCTTTGGAGTAATCGACAAAACATATAAACAAGTCTATATTCCAATCGCTCGTTCACTGATCATTCGTAGCATAAAGAGTGTTTCTTGTGCCACAATCCTCTACGAAACCAAATTGGACATTTGAAAATTCAGATCTGATTTTGCTTCGTGTTCTCATCATCAGAATTCTCAAGAGAACTTTTGTAAGATGACTCATCAAGATGAGTGTTGGATGTAGAGGAAAGGGCCAACAAAAGCAAATACAGATTTCGTAAAAGAGTGTTTAGCACAAGTTAAAGTTAAGAAGAAGTGAGAACAAGAAGACGATCGTAAACCGGGGCGTTTTTATTGTATGTGTTTGTTTGTATTTTATGTGTATTCATATTATAGGTAACATTACTGTACGCAATTGCGCTGTTGTCAATCGTGTAGCATATAATTGTATTGTGTAGTATTATATTATATTATATTATTATAACTTATTATAAGGAAGGTCCGGAGAGATTGAGAAATATAAAAAAAGCTCTCAAGATGGCGGGAAAATGTTAAAAATTACGTCATATTTGACGGTTGAAACATTTTAATGTTATAATATTATGGATGTTTTTATGATACAACTATTTGTCTATCTATCTGTCTGTCTGTGTCTATCCGTATGTCTTTCTGACTGTCTGTCTTTTTGACTGTCTGTTTTTCTGACTGTATATCTACGTGACTGTCTGTCTTTTTGACTGTCTGTTTTTCTGACTGTATATCTACGTGACTGTCTGTCTAACTGTGTGTTTGTTTGTCTCTCTATCTATCTATCTAATTATCTAATTATTTATCATCATTTTCATCACCATCTAATTTCAAAAATCTTTGATGTGATGTTTGATGATGTTGGGTAGTACACATCATATCACCATCATATCATTGTATCATTATTCTTATATAAATTATTAGAATTCACATTTTGATGATAAGATGATAATCCTTCTTATCATTTGAGGTCGTAGTTGTTGTTGTTGGCGTAGTTGTCATCATCATCTTCATCATCATTGTCACTCTCATCCTCTTCATCTTCTTCTCTTTTTTCTTTTTTTTTTCATCATCATCAGCCTCATCACCGCCCATCTTCTTATCACATTGATTGCATCCATCTATCAGTTGAATGCGTGTGTTTGTTTGAGGTTGTTTTCCATTCCATTCCATGTAACCCCTTGCATCTTATGTTGGAAAAAATAAAGTCGTCGTCATCTTCTTTGTCATCGTTGTCGGCACTCTTTTTATCATCATCATCATCATCATCATCATCATCATCATCATCATCATCATCATCATCGTCATCATCATCGTCATCATCATCGTCATCATCATCGTCATCATCATCGTCATCATCATCGTCATCATCATTATCGTCATCATCATCATCATCGTCATTATCCTTATCTCCCTTATCGTTATCATCGTCGTCATCATCATCAACAAACAACAACGACATCATCATCATCAACAACAACAACAACAACATCATCAATATGTTTTTCTTTTTTTTTTCTTCTTTTTCATCTTCATCACCAACATCATATCATCTTCTTCTTTTTCCTCCTCCTCTTCTTCATCTTCAATCTCTTCCAATTACGCTGAGGCATTCGCACTTAGATGTGTGTGCGTATGAATACTGTACTTTATTTAGTTAATACATTTCATCATTCCATATTTTATTCTACGTACGTAACATACAAGAAATTTCTCTCCGCCTCTCTTACAGCCTCTCTCTTTTTTTCTCTCTTTTTTTTCTCCCTCTCTC